TATAAACTAGACCTATCTAAGAATATAAGAATATATCTAGTATTTTATATTAAATTATTATACTTAATTACTAAAGACTTATTACTTAGATAAAAGAAAATTAAACCCCTGTATATTAAAGTTAATAATATTAAGAAATAGGAGGTTAAGGAAGTAGTTAACTTCTACTAGGACTACTATAGCTAAGATAGCTACCTATATTTAAAGTATATTATTAAATAGATTAAATACTCTATTATTATTAAAGTTCTTGCTAGCTACCTAGAGAATATTACTAAGTATATTATTATTTATTATTACTATTATTTTAGAAAGCCTAGACTTTAGGAATACTTTATTAGAGCTTAGTCTAAGAGAGGGGATACTATTATAGTATAGTTATATACTTATTTAATTAGATTCTATCCTAATTATCTACCTTTACTTCTATATTTAAACTATATTACCCCTAATCCTGTTATAGCTCTTTAAGCTATATCCTTATCCTGACCTAATCTCTACCTATTATACCTATACGCAGATAGCCTGAATATACACCCTGCTATTAGCTACACCTACTGCCCGCCTGCTCCCCGTGACAAAAAGCAGAATTTATTAAGGAACTAATACTAAGGTCCTTTAATTAGGACTAACTAGCTATTTTAGAAACTAATACCTTAGATTTCATATCTACTAGAGTATTATTATAATATAATAATAATAGAATTCTATACCTAGTAGGATTCTACTTAAAGAAAATAATTTTAACTAAGTATAATTATAAGATATATAATAAGGAGTTACTAGTAATTATTTATTACCTAGAAAAATAAACCCTAGAATTAGAAGGATACTAATATCTAATTAAGATTATAACTAATTATAGAAACCTAGAGTATTTTATAATAATTAAGATATTAAACTAATAATAAGCCTAATAATCTAAATTCCTGTCTTACTTTAACTTTATAATTAATTATTACCCAGACAAGTATAAAATAAAACTAGATAATTTAACTAGAAAATTATAAGATCTTCTTAAGAAGAAGAATAAATACTTATTATACTAGAGTTAAATAATATTAAAAAAAGAAAACTTAATAAGCTTTCTATCTAAATACTTAGAGGAGTTATAGAGCTAGTAAATATTATAATTAATCTAGTTTTAAGCTATTACTAGAAGAAAGTTAGTATATTTCTAGCTACTTAAGCCTAAAGAAGAAAAGACTATCTAGCTCCTTAAATAGCTAAGAGAGTACCTAGACAAGGGTTATAAATAAGATCTAGCCCCTAATAATATTCTAGAAAGTCTAGAAAAGGACTATAATTATTATTTATTAATTATATTATTTAAGTATACTTATTATTCTAGATTTCTATTTTACTATAATTAATTATATATCCCTAATATAAAAGAATTAAAAATAAAACTAATATATAAATATTATAAGAATATAATTACTAGTTATTAAGATAGATTAAAAACTTATAAATTATTATTATAATTATATTACTAGTCTAGAATACTATAATTTATAAAGTAATAAATTTATAACTATTATATTTATAAATAATCTATATCTTATTAAAATAGATATTAAGGAGTATTTTATTCCTTATTTATACTTAAAGATTTCTAGAGAAATATATTTATTAATTTTATTATATATCTATCCTAAAGCTTAGGCTTTAATATTATTATAATAATAATTAACTAATTAATAAAGTTTTAATACTATATTTCCTATAATAGTATCTATAATACTAAGGGAGCTACTTACCTATTTTAAGATTATATTTAGAGATTTTATAAATTTCTTAAATTTATTATATCTAATTAAGGATCCTAATTTATATTAATATTCTAGATATATCTAAATTATATTTTAAAAATAAGATTACTCTTATCTATTATTTATTATTTTAAAATTAATAGATAAACTAAATATATAAATATTATTTTAAAATAATATTTATAAGTCTATATTAATTATCTATAAAATAATTAGATTAAATAGCTACCTATAATAGAATTTACTACTAATAATATTAATTCTAAAATTATTAAATACTTCCTATTCTTTACTTTATATAATTTTAATCCCTATATAAGATTTAAACTTATCTTACCTAATTATTACTTATAAACTTATAATACTTATTAATTTATCTTAATTATAAAGTAAATATAGGAATATTATTATATTACTATAATTATTACTTAAGCCTGCTATAAATACTATATTAATTAGAAATATTATTTTATTAAATACTATATTAAGGGCTAATTAGTCTAGTTAAATACTAAGAATATTATAACTCTGTACCCTTAAAAAAAATTAGATTAGAAAAATCTAGGCTCCTTTCTTATTAGAAGGGTTATTAGCTCTTATACTTATAAATTAGACCTATCTAAAAATATAAGAATATATCTAATATTTTATATTAAATTATTATACTTAATTACTAAAGACTTATTACCTAGATAAGAGGAAACTAAACTCTTGTATATTAAAGTTAATAGTATTAAGAAATAAAAGGTTAAGAAAGTAGTTAACTCTTATTAGGACTACTATAATTAAGGTAGCTACCTATATTTAAAGTATATTATTAAATAGATTAAATATCTTATTATTATTAAAGTTCCTGCTAGCTACCTAGAGAATACTATTAAATATATTATTATTTATTATTATTATTATTCTAGAAAGTCTAGATCTTAGGAATACTTTACTAGAGCTTAGCTTAAGAAAGGGAATACTATTATAATATAATTATATACTTATTTAATTAGATTTTACCTTAATTATCTACCTCTATTCTTATATTTAAGTTATATTACCCCTAATCCTATTATAGCTTTTCAAGCTATATCCTTATCCTGACCTAATCCCTACCTATTATACCTATATACAGATAGCCTGAATATACACCCTGCTATTAGCTATACCTACTGCCTGCCTGCTCCCTGTGACATCTAGCTTCTTAAATAGCTAAGAAAATACCTAAATAAAGATTATAAATAAAATCTAGTCTTTAATAATATTTTAGAAAGTCTATAAAAAAGTTATAATTATTATTTATTAATTATATTATTTAAATATATTTACTATTCTAGACTTTTATTTTACTATAATTAATTATATATTCTTAATATAGAAGAATTAAAAATAAAATTAATATATAAATATTATAAGAATATAATTATTAATTATTAAGATAGATTAAAAATTTATAAATTATTATTATAATTATATTACTAGCCTAGAATACTATAATTTATAAAATAATAAATTTATAATTATTATACTTATAAATAATCTATATTTTATTAAAATAGATATTAAGATATACTTTATTTCTTATTTATATTTAAAGATCTTTAGAAAGATATATTTATTAATTTTATTATATATTTATTCTAAAGTTTAAGCTTTAATACTATTATAATAATAGTTAACTAATTAATAAAATTTTAATACTATATTTTCTATAATAATACCTATAATATTAAAGAAGCTACCTACCTATTCTAAAACTATATTTAGAGATTTTATAGATTTTCTAAATTTATTATATTTAATTAAAAATCCTAGTTTATATTAATATTCTAGATATACTTAAACTATATTTTAAAGATAAGATTACTCTTATTTATTATTTATTATTTTAAAACTAATAAATAAACTAAATATATAAATATTATTTTAGAATAATATTTATAAATTTATATTAATTATTTATTATAAAATTTACTACTAATAATATTAATTTTAAAATTACTAGATATTTCTTATTCTTTACTCTATATAATTTTAATCTTTATATAAGATTTAAGCCTATTTTATCTAATTATTATTTATAAATTTATAATACTTATTAATTTATTTTAATTATAAAATAAATATAAGAATATTATTATATTATTATAATTATTATTTAAGTTTATTATAAATATTATATTAACTAGAAATATTATCTTATTAAATACTATATTAAGAATTAATTAATCTAATTAAATATTAAGAATATTATAATTTTATATTCTTAAAAAAAATTAGATTAAAAAAATCTAAGTCTTTTTTTTATTAAAAAGATTATTAATTCTTATATTTATAAATTAGATTTATTTAAAAATATAAAAATATATCTAGTATTTTATATTAAATTATTATATTTAATTATTAAAAATTTATTATTTAAATAAAAGAAAATTAAACTTCTATATATTAAAATTAATAATATTAAGAAATAAAAGATTAAGAAAATAATTAATTTTTACTAAAATTATTATAATTAAAATAATTACTTATATTTAAAATATATTATTAAATAAATTTAATATTTTATTATTATTAAAATTCTTACTAGCTACTTAAAAAATATTATTAAATATATTATTATTTTTTATTACTATTATTTTAAGAAGCCTAGATTTTAGGAATACTTTATTAAAGCTTAATCTAAGAAAAGGGATATTATTATAATATAGTTATATACTTATCTAGTTAGATTCTATCCTAATTATCTATCTCTACTCCTATATTTAAACTATATTACCCCTAATCCTATTATAGCTCTTTAAGCTACATCCTTATCCTGACCTAACCCCTGCCTATTAGACCTATACACAGATAGCCTGAATATATACTCTACTGTTAGCTACACCTACCGCCCGCCCGCCCCCGTGACACTTGACTAGATCTAACTAGAAATAATATACTATATTATATAAGGAAAAATATACTATATTAAATCCTGTCTTACTAGGTAGTATTTTACTACTTGAATTAGGTATAACTAGTTATAACTAGTACTACTAGATAAGTAATTTTAAATCCTATAGCTTTATAGAATATATTACTAACTTACTACTAGTATTATCATGTATAGTAATGGAATTTGGTCATTACTAGTCCCATCTAGTCCCAACCTGTCAAATTTGGTAGCCACCTGGTGACCTGGCGACCTGGCCAGCCGCAACCTCCCAGGTAATGTCAGCCCAATAACTTAATCCTATGCTTTACAAACCTGATCCTCCCTCTTTTACTAAATACCTAGGTACTGTCAGTAGTCCAGCGCTTATTCTTCGATCTCAGATACTGTACTAGTAGTTAATAAGGTAGTTTGTTATGTATAGATAGGTACTTGGTGCTATTCATGATGCCATAGACTTGACACGGCACTCATTATACTCCGTCACTAGCCTGATTGATGATCTATCGATCTATTACCAGAATATATATATATATATATATATTTGCATCTAGTATTACTACTAGGGTAGTAGTAGTAGTAGTAGTTATCTATTTTTCCGCCCTCCACCACAACCACCCAATCCCAATCCCAAACTTGATCCCCGCCGACATCCACAGCGCCGACGGCATGCCCCCGCGACTCCGGCTCAACCACCCGCCCACAATCGCCCCCACAGCCAACATCACCACGCCCCCGAGGCGCCGGTTTCGCTTCGCGTTCGCCGTCGGCCGCTGCGCGAGCTGCGGGTCGGACGCAATGTCAAAGTACACGCTGGTCAGCACGACCGTCGGGATCTCGTTGTAGCCGAGGGCGCGGCTGGAGGTGATCGAGCCGGCCGACTGGAAGGCCAGGAGCGCAATGGGGATGAGTTCCAGGAAGAGCCGGCCGCCGGTGAGTCTGGAGTCCGTGGCGGAGTGCGGGATGAGGTTCCCCTCGATCAGGGCGACCGCGATGATGACCAGGACGGCCTGCGCGAGAAACGACCCGACGAGCGTCGCGCGCCGCCGGTTCCCGAAGTGGCGCGTGGTCGTCGCGAAGACGAACGACCCCGCGAAGAACGAGCAGATCGAGGTGAGGGATTTCAGCCATCCCCAGGGTTTTCCGGCTGGTTGGGAGGATGCGCCTAGTCCGAGGAAAATCGTGTTTCCTGGTGTTTGGTTAGGGTTTTTTTTTTTTTTTTTTGGGTACGTATCATGTTGACTGGCGGGGGGGGGACAATACCCGTTTGCATGCCTAGGAAACATGACCACGCATTATAGGATGCGCTGTCGCAGAGACCCGTGATGAAACATAGCACAATGCAGATGATGTCTGCATGCTTGATCTCAATCGTTTCCTTCAACCTACTGGCGACTGTCGTCTTCGCGCCGGGCTTCTCCATAGAAGGACTGTTGGCTTCGATATCTGACATCGCCTCTCGCTGCGTTTCTTCTCCGTATGGTCTGGTAAGGTAGGCACTCCAGCGCGGGCCTAATTCAGCGCAAAGACCTGAAGGGGGGAAAAAAAAAATCGACTGCGGATGCGACTTCGACCGTAAAAGTAGGCAGCCATCAAAGGTCGGTATTTATTTGCCGACAGGGTGGGTTTCCAAATTTTGCTGCGCGGGAGAGGGGAGGCTCCGATTTGATAAACCTGTCCTGACTGTAGGGCAGAGTAGTCGAGTTGTCTAGTCCTCTAGAAGACTAGAAGCAAGCCATTATTACCCCGATGTTGGATAGTTGGAGTGTTGGACTGTTGGTGTCTGGTCGCGGGCCGCGCACGATTGCGTAATTCTTAGGATGTGACTCATGGAGATTTATAAGGGTTAAAATATAACTAACTAGGGCTTCGAACTAGCTAAGTCTCCCCGGGTTCGGTGGTTTTGTTGTGCATGCAATATGCATTCCTCTGGATTTGATGGTATGTTCGAGTTAAGATAGGGCTGAGATCTTTCAAATCCCCGCAATAGTACTACATCTATATAGGACTCCCTGCGTTTCATTCCAATTCTTGCAGGCTTAGAGTATATATTCAAAAAATATTCTCCAATTGAAGTATCTTGCATTAAAGTATCTTTTGTATATCGTTAATTTCTTGGGGTTATAGCAGAATGCACAGACATGTGATTTGAGTACTAACGTCAGTATTCATCTAAACTCTACATCTCATGTGGCGACCCATAGAAGAGTACTTATCTCTACCCACGGTGAGCTGTCCCCGAAGAGTAGCCCGGCTCTGCCGGTTACAAGGCTTAGCTAACGAATGAATCCGCAAGCTGCTGCCACATCCACGGTTTCGTCGTGCTCCGATCGCACTTGTCGCGGCGTCCATGGGATGTCATCCCCGCACTGGAGATGGATGAACCTAAATGATTTACAGATCGGGTAGCTGAGCAGAAGCTCAACGATATCCTTGAAGCGGAGTGGTCCGAACAGAAACCTCGACCAGACGGGGAATTCAAGTCAACAAATCCGGCTGTCTGGACCCTGTCTCATGATCTCATAGAAGGCATTGTTCAATCACATCCATCCGCAGAGTCTGGGATGCAGATGGATGGCCAGAGTTGGGAGAATCGTGGATCGGAGTGTCAGCGTCATCATCCCATCATGAGCGCCACTCCTCTTTCTTATATTATTGTTCCGTGCCTCCGCCTGTACGGATCTTCTTCTCTGAACAATTCCGTTGAAATCATATTTGCACACAATTGGATTCTCTCGGTACGTTCTCGCTCAGCCTCTTGAGGGTGGAAGAGTCCGGACTCATTTGTTTCAACCAACAACCGAGTCAAAAAGTAAACCCCCCCCCATTGCTGATCAAACTATTAGAAATCTCCATCGACATCATGCAGTCATCAACACATAATCCATCTATGCGCTCCTCTGGAAGCCAGACCCAGAACCCTTCGTCAAGAACGCAAGGAACCAAGTCTTCCAAAACGGACCCTACTGCCAATTGGAGCATACAGGAGATGTTTGAGACAACACTTGACAAGGATGGAAACCCTGTCCCCGATCCTGTCTCATTCATTGACGGCGCCAAAATGAGTAAAGGGGAACGCGGCTTTAAGGACGAGGGCGATATGGTCTCCGCCGCCAATGATGACTTTGACTAAATCGAGGCAAACCCCCCCCCCCCCCCCCTTCCTGATATGAAATTGTCCCGCAAGCCAGATTCTGTGACGATGAGAACGAGCCCTTCAGCTTCTGATATCAGGAGGTTGCATTCTAGTGATCTATGCGGTCGTTGTCGGGGATGAAATGGATTCTGAACATGTCACCGACCAGGGTGGAGCACTCTTTTAACGACATGATATGTACTTGATATGAAAATCAAAATCTCACCAATCGTGACAGTAAATAGTAATTAGCTTGAACTATATATCATTGCAGAGATGAAGAAATCCTGTTTCACATACATCTGGGTAATAATTGCTATGGCAACCGTCTGTGCCGGGATAGGCCTTGATCTGCCTCAGGCTCCACGCCATCCTCGATCCGCCAAACCCAAACGAAGCCATCGCTGCCAACTGTTGAGCTTCACTGTTGTTCTTCCTCTTGTTCTTGTTGTGGTCTCGACGACGGCACTTTGAATAACCCCCTTTAGGATGACGATGAGCCTTATCACCATGATATGACTGATGGTTGACTAAATCGCGTATTCGAGCTGGCCTGCGACATCAATCGGATTTCTTTTCTTCCTTCCTTTTCTATCTCCCTTACAGAGTTGCCGGTCGGTTTCTCGTTCTTGTGTCCATCACCAAAGTCTGCCTTTTTTTGGTCTTACTTTCTTTGTCCTCCTTTTTTTTTGCGCTCTGATATTTTGATACTGTCCCTTCGTGCATCATTCAGCGTCGTGTTTCTGTTGAGTTTTGGTGACACCGCTTGTATACTTCTGCGCGCTCCTCCTCACTTCACAAGCCCCAACCAGCGTCTTGTTTCGTTTACTACGGGGAAAGAGCTACTATACACGAGACAAACTCGCAGTTACGGCGAGCCTCCCTATGCGACGTTGTTTCTCCTTCCGCTTGAGGTACAATTAGCCTGTATGTACCATCACTTTATTAATCGCCAACGTGAGATGGTTGCTCAGATTGAACAGTTATTGAGGGAGCATAGTCAAGAAATGTCACTAGATCCGCGCTTTTACCATCTGGGCCATGGCCTTGGGCCTGGTTCGCAGTCTTCTAGTTCCTCATCAGGTGCCTCTGCTATCACCGGTATTACCAGTCCCTCCATCCGTTCGACAACAGCTTCATCCGCGGCGCTACGATCAACCGCTTCGAGCCCATCATTGCGTTCAAGAGAGGGTATTGCTGTGACTGCTAGTCGCCTAGATGGAATTGCCAGTCCTTCCCCGGGTGGGAATGTGCGCGTGGTTGTGCGCGTGCGAACTTTCTTGCCGCGAGGTACGTCTCCTTATACATTGATGGGATGTCAGGATAAAGACAGCTGATTCTATACAATCTTGATAGAACTCGAGCGCAACGCCCCCTGCCTGATCACCATGGACCCCCACACTCAAATGACGAAACTCAGAGCACCACTCAATCCTAGCGACGAAGGAAAGCCCAAATCTCAGGCCCGTGGAAAAGTCCTGGAGGATAAAGCCTTCATCTTCGATAATTCATTCTGGTCACACGATGAGGAGGATGATCACTATGCAACTCAAGAGGACGTATACAATTGCCTAGGGGAGGAATTCTTAGACCACAACTTCGAGGGATATCATACCTGCATCTTCGCGTATGGTCAGACCGGCTCTGGCAAGAGTTACACCATGATGGGTACCCCCGAGCAGCCTGGTTTGATCCCACGGACCTGCGAGGATTTATTCCAGCGTATAGAGGGTGCAGAGACGCCAGATGTCAGCTTCAATGTTCGTGTCTCCTACTTCGAGGTCTATAACGAACATGTTCGAGATCTGCTGGTGCCTCGCACTGAGCCGCCACACTACCTGCGTATTCGAGAGTCTCCTTCCGAAGGACCCTACGTCAAGGACCTTACCGAAGTCACGGTGAGGAATTATCCAGAACTTATGAAGTACATGCGCAAGGGCGACGTGTCACGCACCGTTGCTAGCACGAAGATGAACGATACATCCTCCCGATCGCATGCCGTTTTTACTATTACATTGAAACAGATCCATCACGACCTTTCTACCGATGAAACAACGGAACGCACAGCGCGAATACGACTTGTTGATCTCGCCGGCTCCGAACGCGCGAAGTCCACCGAAGCGACCGGCCAGCGCCTGCGGGAAGGATCTAATATCAACAAATCCCTCACGACTTTGGGTCGAGTCATTGCAGCCTTGGCTGAACCCAAACACGGACGGCCGGGCAAACGGAAGGGAAAGGAAGTCGTACCTTACCGTGACTCGATCCTCACGTGGCTGCTTAAAGACAGTCTTGGAGGAAACTCGAAGACGGCGATGATTGCCTGTATCTCTCCGTCGGACTACGAAGAAACCCTTTCAACCCTCCGCTATGCAGACCAGGCGAAGCACATCCGCACCCGCGCACGAGTCAACCAAGATCATCTGTCTGCCGCCGAACGTGACCAGCAAATCGAAGAGATGGCCGAGACTATCCGCACCCTGCAACTCAGTGTTAGTCTGGCGGCGGCTAACCGACGGGAGAGCGAAATGCAAAACGAACGGCTTGAGGAGTATCAGCAAAAGGTAGAGAAGCTGCAGCGGTTGATGGAGGAAACTAAGATGGTCAGTGAGTGCAAGATTCGGCAATTGCAAACTGAAAACGAAGCTCTTCGCAACCATCTCAAGTTAGCCCTGGATAGCCTCCGGAATCCTATCCCACCTGTTACTATCGAGAGGCGTCTGAGCGGATCTCTTATTGTAGAGGAACAAGAAGGCGATCTGTCCCTGGAGGACCAGGAGAACAATCTTGAATCTCCTATTTCCGATGCTGAAACAGAGCCATACTTGATTTGGGAAGAAGAAGAGGAGGAGGAGGAGGAGGAACAAGCACAAGAAGAAGAAGAAGAAGACTCGAGTCATACTGAAGCTAGTAAGAGTCAGGCCCAAGAAATGCAGTCGAACATGGAGGATCTTCTCGTTGATCTAGGTGTCTTCAAACGCAAACTGGCAACCGACCACGAACGGTTCCGGTCCGTCCAAAAACCAGAGGGGCGAATACGACGACGAGCGCTGGGGCAGATACTGGGAAATAACCGCTAGGGATGTACTGGAGGGACTTTGAATATGTTGGAAAGGCGTTTTAGGGAGGCAATCTGGGTGTGCTTGTGTGCTTTTGTTCTTCTTGTGCGAGTTACGAATGATGCGACGATGAGATATCAGGATGACCAGCGCGATCGAATTGGCTTAATGAAATATTTATTCAAGTCGTATTCTCTCCGTAATCCTATTATTCTTATTATGGAGTCCTTTCCTGTAGCTGTCTGTACCTTAATGTTCTGCACTAGGGCTGCGTTAGTGCCAGACCATCACCGCTTATGGCATCATCGCCCTTTTCCCGTGCGTGAGTCAAACCATCGCGCTTCTTCCCATCCCCACAACCGCCCCGAAAAAAAAAGTTATCCAATGCCCCTCCCGATTGCCGTCATCGCCTTCCACCCGGTCCTCCCAAAATGGCGAATCCTGTCAACCCAGCGCTGAACCCTGTATCGTCTACGCCCGCTGCTCCTGCTCCTGCACCTGCTCCTGCACCCATATCGCAGCCCCCCCCTTCGAAGATGATGCAACAGTCCCAACCACAGCAACAGGGGCAGAATAGCTCCTCCGCGAAGCCCGCAAAACCCGCCAAGCAACAACAACCCGCCAAAGGCAAAAATGCAACCTCCTCCACTGCCGCCGATGGAGCAGCAGCAGCAGGAGGAGGAAGCGAGAGCCTCAGCCCCGCAGAACTGAAGAAGAAAGCCAAGGCCGAGAAGGCTGCTCGTCGCGCTCGTGAGCGAGCTGAGCGAGACCAGCCGGGGGGTCCTGGTGCGGGGCAAGGACAAGGACAAGGACAAGGACCCAACACTGCTGCCGCGAAGAAAGGCCAGGATGGTGGCGCTGGAGGGGTTGGTGGTGGTGGTGGTGGAGCGGCTGCGGCTGCGTCCAAGGGACAAAAGTCTGCGCCGAGGAGAGGCTCTGCGCAGGGTGGAGCGGTCGAGCAGAAACGGAAGCAGGAGGATAAGAACGTTGCTGTCTTTGGGCATTTGTATGGACAGCAGAGACGAACTACGATTGCTGGGGCGGCGAAGGAGGTGCATCCGGCTGTGTTGGCGTTGGGGTTGCAGATGAGGGATTATGTGGTTTGTGGAAGTAGCGCGAGATGTGTTGCGACGCTGTTGGCTTTCAAGAGAGTATGTTTTCTCCTTTTTTTTTTTTTTCTTCTTTCTTTTCTTGATATCATTTACTGTATTTGTTGGGTTACGGGATTCTGACTTCTTCGTTAGGTTATTGAGGCGTATACGACACCACTGGGCACCTCGTTGGCTCGTCACTTGACTACACACCTGTCCCATCAGATCACCTATCTATCTACATGCCGTCCTCTCTCGATCAGCCAGGGAAATGCTATCCGTGCGCTGAAGCTGGCTATTTCGTCTATTGATCCTTCAGTTCCCGAGGCGGATGCGAAGGCGGAACTATGCGAGTTTATCGATAGCTTCATCCGCGAGAAGATCACCGTGGCCGATCAGGTCATTGCCGGCAGTGCGGCGCAGAAAATTCAGGATGGAGATGTTATTGCCACATTTGCTGGTAGCTCGATTGTCAAACAGACCCTTCTTCTTGCCTTCAAGCAGGGCAAGAAATTCCGCGTATCCATTATCGACTCTCGACCGCTCTTTGAGGGAAAGAATCTGGCCAGGACACTGGCCAATGCCGGTCTGGACGTGCAGTATTCGCTGATCAACGGTGTCAGCCATGCTATGAAAGATGCCACCAAAGTCTTCCTCGGGGCCCACGCCATGACCAGTAATGGACGGCTGTACTCCCGCGTCGGCACCGCGCTGGTCGCCATGTCGGCCAAGGAGCGTGCTGGCGGTGTTGAGATTCCCGTCATTGTGTGCTGTGAAACCGTCAAGTTCACGGACCGTGTTGCTCTCGACAGCATTGTCGTCAACGAAATCGCCGACGCTGACGAGTTGGTCGTGACGGAACCACCTCACCAGTTGACAGGGTTACCTGACCCTGCAGCTCTTGTCCAACCGGAGCCCAAAAAGGGAGGAGGGGGCAAGGCCGCGCCTAAGCCCAACCCCTCAGAGCAAACCACTACACCCAAGACAAATGCGTCCCCGCTAAAGGACTGGCGGGACACCCCGAACCTACAGCTTCTGAACATCATGTATGATGTGACTCCCGCTGAGTACGTTGACATGGTAGTCACTGAGATGGGCAGTTTGCCGCCCAGTGCAGTCCCGATCGTGCATCGGATGAGCACGAACATGTAGATGTGTATCTTTCTCTCTTTTTTTTTTTTTTTTTTCTTTTGAAAAGGGGGGAGGGGGTTGTTGACCATTTTTACCCTTTGCTATCTTTTCTTTTACGTGGTTATTTTTTCCCTACATCAATTCCCTATTTCTCTTGATGTTCACCTGGATGATTTTTCACTCCTGTTTCAGGCTTTGTCAGTCACGCCGGTATTATTCTGGAAAGCGCTGGAACGGCAAAGAGGGTTCCTCCATTGTTGTATTGACTATGATTATGGTGTATGGCTAGCGGGCATTACAGGAAAAGTCATCAATTCGGATATTTTGCTTTGCTTTGCTTTGCTTTGCTTTGACTTTGACTCTGAATATAGTCTTGGTATTCGTCGAAGACTCTCGACAATGTAATGAACAGTATTTCTCCTTTCTAGCAGGGCGACTGAACCTTGGTTCCTTTTTTATTCAGACAACTTGTAACTATGCAAACATACAGAAAACCCCAGAAAATTAACCAAAAAGTCCATTCTGCCATAATCAGAAGGCGGTATGAAACCCACCACCAAACGCGTTATTCGCGTCCCCCCCCACGCGTCTCTACATTAATTAGTAGTTAGTTAGTTAGTGCTAAGTTATCCCATGAACCAACCAATCCATAACCACCAGCCAGAAACCCCTCTCTATACTGAATTCCCGATATCAGAGAGAGAGAGAGAGAGAGAATGAGCTCCCCCGCCCCAAATCCCGACGACACAGCCGAAGAGCTCACCGAGCTCTTCGCCCCGTCTGCCCCCGATGGCCTCGCGGCAGATATCCTGGCGGAGCTACAATCCATCATGCGCGTGCACTCGATCACCGCCCAGGAACTGTTCTACCGATGGGAGTCGTACTGTGTGCGGATGGGGTCGGAGGAGACGAAACTGGATCTGGACACGGTGCGGCTTTTCAAGCGGGATGTGCAGGAGAATCTGGAGCGCCAGGCTCGGGGAAGAACGGGGGGGAGGCAGAGTGAGAAGAGGGGCGGTGTTGCGGCTACGCCTCGTGCAGGGGGGAATTTTGATGTGTTTGGGATGTAAGTTTGTCTTTTTTTTTGGGGGGGGGGTTTTGGTTTTGTGTGTGTGTGTGAGAGAGAGAGAGGGCTGGGTTTGTGGTTCAAGGTAGCATCCATTGCTAATCAGGGGGGGGGTGTATTAGGTTGGATGGGTTGGCTCCCGCGCGAACGCCAAATGGTGCCAATGTCAATGGCAATGGCAATGGCAATGGCTCTGGCTCTGGCTCTGCGAAGAGGAAATCGGATTTTGCTTCGCCGTCTTTTTCCAAGGTTGGGAAGGCGGAGAAAAGTGATTCTCCGTTGGGATTGAAGACAACGGGGATTTCGACGAACGGTGCCGGTTCCGTGGAGGGAATACAGTATGTGTCCTTGCTTCCCTCTGTTGAGAGAAGCTTGTGGGGCCTGCGGGTTTGTTTGATGGGTGACGGTGTTGATTGACTGAATGTTGCGTTATAGATCGGTTCCCTTCTCAGAGCGTCTGAATCCAGGCCAGGCCATCGAGCGCCTCAATGACCATTTACCGACTCCTGATACTCCCATGGCGCCCTTTCCGGAAGCCCGCGTGCGGCCGACGGCTAATACGGATTTGAAAAAGTTCGGGTACAAACCTCTGGCCATGCGACAGTCGGAGGCGTCTGAGATTCTGGATGATCGGATTGACGAGTTTCTCGCATTGTTTGAGAAGAAGCTTGAGAAGGAGGATATTGTTTTCGGCAGCGCTGCTACGCAGAGCACCAGTGAGATTGTTGCGGTAGGACGTATTGCCTCGGACAGTTTGGAGGGAAAGCTGAATCCGGCATCGCTCGTGCTTGAAACATCCCGACGAACTGGAGCTGGTGTACGCGTGCCATTAAACGTGGACTCGATTCCGTCGGCCAACTTTTTCCCGGGACAAATCGTGGCATTGTTAGGGATCAATGCTTCTGGGAACTACTTCTCGGTAAAAGAAGTACTCACGCCACCTCTTCTGCCACCTCCTGTTTCTCCCGTGCATACAATCGAAGAAATCAACCACCGATTAGAGGAGTCTGGCTCGTCCCCGTTGAACGTGTTAGTGGCTTGCGGGCCTTACACAGCGGATGATAACCTGGAGTTCGGACCCCTCAATGAAATTTGCCGAAAGGCGGCTGAGAGCTACGCAGATAGCGTGATACTTGTCGGGCCATTCCTAGATATCGAGCACCCTCTTGTGGCGTCTGGCGATTTCGATCTTCCAGAAACATCTGGCTTCGATCCTGATACAGCTACATTGACACATGTCTTCCGACACTGTATCTCGGCGCCTTTGCAGAAGCTTGCTGCCGCAGTCCCCAGCATCACGATTGTTCTGGTCCCATCCGTCCGAGATGCCGTGAGCAAACACGTCTCATGGCCCCAAGAACAGATCCCCAAGAAGGAGCTTGGGTTGCCGAAGCAGGTTCGAATGGTATCTAACCCGATGACTTTGGCCTTGAACGAGACAGTCTTCGGGATGTGCTCACACGATGTGCTATACGAGCTCCGAAAGGAGGAGGCGCTGCACGGCAGACCCAAGGAAGCTAACCTGCTCACACGCTTACCGAAGTACCTCATTGAACAGCGACATTTCCTGCCCATATTCCCGCCCTCGGCTCGAGACACGCTCCCCAAACCTGGAATCAAAGACGCGCTTGCGACAGGCGCTGCACTAGACCTGAGCTACTCAAAACTAGGCGAATGGTGGAATGTACTCCCGGATGTGTTGATCGTCCCCAGTCTGCTACCGCCGTTTATCAAAGTATGTATCACAAATATGTATCAAAATCCAACAAAGAAGCTAACCAACATCGCACCCAGGTGATTGACAGTGTTCTCACAATCAACCCGGGCACAATCTCAAAACGCCGTTCAGCAGGAACGTACGCCCAGATCGCGATCCACCCACGCGTCATCAGCGAAGAGGAGCGCGGAAAGAAACACATCCGACATAACCTATACGAGCGGGCCCGGGTAGACATTCTTCGGATCTAGGGGAGCGAGAGGGGGAAACCAACATTGTACGGAGTAAATGTACAGTAACTAATGACGGGGGCGTTTTGGTGTCACGATATGATAGGTAACATTAATGACGATGCATTGGAACAAGTTTGAAACCATAGAAATCCGGGGTATATATATATATATATACATAATAATACAACCCAATTCTCCGTAAAAAAAAAAAAACATAAAGAAACCCAATTATCACCGTAAACAAACCGGCCTTTGCCTCTTCCCACCCATTAATTTCCCCGCATCCGAAACCTTTTTCACCGGGGTATCTGTCTGCGCAAGCCCACCGGAACTCACTAACCCCTCAAGCCCCAGATCCCGCCAGACCGTCTCGCGTCGTCTCTCCATAGCCCTCGTGATCCCAAACGCCGCATGCTGGTCGGGGACCACGTCGTCTTCGTCCTCCGGGTTGGGTGGCTGGTACTGCGGGGGAATGTAGATGTCCTCGATCGGCAGGAAGGAGGGAACGAGAGTCGGAGAAGAGGATCCGTATGTGACGGTGTGGTTGTGGTAGAAGTGCGATGAGGAGGAAGAGGTGAGAGATGCCGTGTGAGAGGTGTGTGGACGCGTAAAGTCTTCAAAGTAGTCTGCCAGACGAGGGTGGTGCATGTGGATGTGTGTTGGGGAGGAGTCTTTGCTCTGGAAGGGGGGGGGTTAGTTTGGTTTTGAGAGGGTTAAGTGTATTGGAAGTTGGGGCGGACCATTGTGATGGGTTGATTCTTTTTTTTTTTTTTTTTTTTTCTCTTCTGATATTCTAAGAAGTAGGCGTGGTGTTATTTATGAGTGTATGGTGGTGAGGGTGTTTTGAAGGTATACATAGAGCAGTGGACTAACTACCTAAGTTAGTTATTTATGTAGAGAAGTCTTAGTAAGCGCGTGTTATAACATGTGCATAATAATTTATGAACCAGCTGTTGTTTGCGACAAATCAAGCGCATGAATTTAACCTCGAGTAAGGAATTGCAGTAGTAGTTCATCCCTCGAAACCTACCCTATCCTTGGTGGCCCTGTCGATCAACTTTCACGCTGAGACAACGAATTTATTTAGCGAGGCTTAGGCTGGTTGATCTCCAGTTCTCGGATCGTTTGACTCCGGTTCTTTCTGCCGCTCGTTGATAGATAGATTGATTGTTGGGCGATTCATTGAATCCAGGCACCACATTCGATTTTATTTGACACATCCTTCGCGATATTGGAATACTCCACGGCAATTTCTCCAGCTCATCATGTCTGCCACCCCGTCGGAGTCTCCAGCTGACACCACCCAGGTGTCAACAGAGGCAGCTACTCCGGCCTCTACGCAGCCCACAGAACAAGAGAAATCAGCGCCTGAGTCCCCTGCTCCCAAGGAGATAGTTGAAGCAACCCTTGATCTCCCACGGTCGTCCGCCGATGGAATCATCCAGAAGCCCTTCCTCCGTCCAATCGACACAGCCAAGCCACTCCCACCCGCTCAACTAACCCCTGACCAGCAAACCAAGTACGAAACCGTTCTCGCAGCCGTCTCCCAATGGACCACCGTTCCAACTACAGCCGCCAAGAATGCCCCTACCGCCCCGATTACAGACGATGAGCGCATGTTCTTGACGCGCGAGTGTCTGCTCCGGTACCTGCGCGCATCGAAGTGGAACGTCGCCGAGGCGACTGCGCGACTCCAGCGCACGCTCACCTGGCGTCGCGAATACGGGGTTGAGAAGCTTACGCCGGAATATATCTCGATTGAGAACGAGACGGGCAAGCAGGTGATTCTGGGCTACGATATCCATGCTCGGCCGTGTCTGTATCTTTTGCCGTCCAAGCAAAATACGGAGAAGAGCGAGCGCCAAGTCCAGCATTTGGTGTATATGTTGGAGCGATTGATCGATATCCTGGGTCCAGATCAGGAGACAATTGCGCTGATTGCGAATTTCAATGAGACCAAGTCGGGCCAGAATGCCAGTATCGGTCAGGCAAAGGAGACTTTGAACTTCCTTCAGAACCATTATCCCGAGAGATTAGGTCGGGCTTTGGTTATCAATAGTACGTTTTTTTTTTTTTTTTTCTTTCCTTATCGCTATTCTGCTTCACATCCGTATTTCTTTCATCCCGGGGCTATTCTTCTACGAGGACTCGAACCATGCTAATGTCTACCAGTGCCTTTCCTCATTCTCGGCTTCTTCAAATTGATCACGCCGTTCATTGACCCGTTGACTCGGGAGAAACTCAAGTTTAACGATAACCTTACCAAGCATGTCCCTCCGACCCAGTTGATGAAATCTGTGGGTGGCGAGGTCGACTTCCAATACGACCATTCGATCTACTGGCCTGCGTTGACCAAACTCTCTGAGGAGCGACGAAGAACCTACAAACTGCGGTGGATTGAAGGTGGAAAGCGTATCGGAGAATATGAGAACTACCTCAAGACCGGTACTAGCCCGAACCTGTCCCAGAGGGAGAGCAAGCCCAACTGAACTGCAGAAATCTCCAAAACCGAAGCTTTATGCGTCACCAAAACCAGTCTACATCACACAACCTTATGATATGATATCCGTGATTGGGCCAGTGTATTCCTGTTCATTGTCGTTTGCATTATTGGCATATCTCACAGAGCGCACAGCCATATTTACATTGTTCTTTGCGTCATAACATCATTGCATCATGTCTGCCAGCTCCACACAGTATATGATACCGGGTTACAGCATTTTTTATGCCTCTCTTCTTTTTTTTCTCTCCTTATATCCCTGTCTGAATCTTATTTCGGGTATTTGTCTGCCTCTGGATTGAGCATGGTCGTCGTTAACTAGGTTTGCGCGTGTAGGTGGTGGTGGCGATCCTGTTATAGACTAGGTCTTCTAAAAGCATCGCCTGTCCGAACTTTGTCCATCCGTTTCAGTTGTTTGATCAGCGTTGAGTCTCGTTCGACATGGCTTCGTCGACGGATGGTCTGGTCACGTGTAGGGATGGCGGGGCAGTGGTTGAGAGGCCTGAGGCCGTAAAGAAACTGGCAGCTCTGGTTGAGGACGAGGTAGAGAACCATCTTAGTATAACTATAGCTAAACTGATGGTTAACGGAGGGAGATTTCAATGCAGAAAGAGGTGCTTGAGGGGATCAGTAGGAATAAGAAAGCAGAGTGGTTTTGGTTTCCTTGCCAGTGCAAACCCCGCGCCTCTTCCCTGCACCACTTACATAGTAGACAGTCGAATGTTAGTCGCAAAAAGCATCAGTATTGTGGGGTGCGATTAGTTAGTTTCTATAGTGTCTGTGGCTATCCAAAGATTATCTATTTTTAATCGCCTTGCAGGTTATATTTTTGGGGTGTCATTTCCCTCATTCTCCCCACCATCATCTCTGAATATCCACAATATCCACGGGAGTTGTAATTGAAAATGATTATCGATCTGGTTTAATTTACTTACTCCTTTTCTTGGGGACAAAGTATATGTATGGGGCTCTCCTGATCAATGTAAATCTCCCCACTGATGATTCCCAATCTTCTTCCCCCACGGGCAGAATCAATATTTCCGGGTCGCCGCCTCTGACTACTACCACCACCACCACCAACACCACTACTAACCATTACGACTACTTCTACCAGCATCACCACTATTACTTATTACTGCAACTTTGGTTACTGCTGTGGCTACTAATCATCCTATCATTACTACTGCCACTACTACTGTTCCTACAACCGAAATTCCTCCTCCCACCACCTCTCCTCCTCCACCAATTCTAACACCACTCCTCCCACCTCTCTCACTTCCATCACCACCTCCCCTCCATCTCTTCCCTTGGCCACCATCCCAATCCCACCCCCAGTTCCATTTGCTGTCACGAGGCTGCTTTCCTACAGCCCTCATCCTACCTCCGATCGCGTCGTCCTTCTTATCCCAATGCCCCCAGCCCAGCCCGAGAGGGCAATCGATCGGGAAGAGCGTCAGGGCCTGGTGAGTCCTTTTTTTTTTTTAATCCAAGTTTTTGATTTTTATTTTGCTGTCCTTGGTGTTGCTCCTCGGATGAGTATCCCATTCGATTCCCTGCTTTTTCTACTCCCTTCGTGTTGTCGCGCCTTTTTTTTTTTTTTTAATCCTCCCCCTTACCCAATTCCCCTCCATTCATTCAGGCCTGCATACCTTAGCTTAGGTCAAGATGGGTCCCTCACATTGGCATCACCACTCTTTTTGCTGGAGGGAGGAAAGACGAGGAGCCCCATTCATTTCCCTGTCGCTGCGCGTTGGCTTTGATTGCATGTCGTTCGCTCGCTTGTAATTTTGTCGATCATGACCTGTCAAATCCAACGGGGATCTTGACTAATAAAGCCCATTCTTCGTTCGTCTCTCCTGTAGCGTGCCATCCGCAACTTCCTCAAAGTCCGCAACAGCTACGATGTTCTCCCCCTTAGTTTCCGCCTCATAATTTTCGACACCTCGTTGTCGGTGAAGGAGAGTTTAAATATCCTGATTCAGAATGGCATGTACCCCTCCCGTCCCCGTCTGGAATCTTTTCGTGATCCAAGCTCCTCGCCGCAGCCGCGCGCCGAGGAGTGTAACCCCTCCAAATGAGCGAGCTACCCGAAATTGGGAAATTATCCAGAATGCTGACTGCGTGCGCATTGTATGCGTGCTTCCAGGTATCGTTTCAGCGCCCTTGTGGGATTCCAAGTCCTCTACCTTCGCCGGTCTCCTGACGACCTCCGACTACATTAATGTCATTCAGTACTACTTCCAAAACCCGGCCGCTCTTGACCAGATTGATCAGTTTCGGCTGGATAGTCTGCGAGGTATATACATTTTCTCTACAGTTCGACTTCGTTCGGGGGATTGGAAACTAATACAAGGAGCTAGAGGTGGAAAAGGCGCTGGGTGTTGCCCCCCCCGAAACGATTTCCATCGACCCCGAGCGACCACTGTACGAGGCCTGCAGGCGTATGCTTGAGTCCCGAGCCAGAAGGATTCCTCTCGTCACAAATGACAGCCAAACCGACCGAGCTCTTGTCCTGAGTGTCATTACCCAATACCGTATCCTCAAATTCGTCGCCGTCAACGTCGGCGACACGCAGAAGTTAAAGAAACCGTTAGGAGAGATTCAACTAGGCTCTTATCATAATGTCGCAACGGCTTCAATGGACACCCCGGTTATCGATGTGATTCACATTCTGGTCGAGCGGAGCATCTCAAGTGTGCCAATTGTGAATACAGAAGGTATGTGTGCATACGCCAGTGGTACCCCACTCAATCTGCGAAAATGTTTTGCATGCTAAAACTAGTACTCTTTGCTTGCAGGCGTTGTATACAATGTTTTCGAGGCTGTAGATGTGATTACGTTGATCAGGGGCGGCGTGTACGATGATCTAGGTCTTACAGTTGGAGAAGCCCTAAAAAAGCGACCTACGGTAAAGTCAAACTCCAGACACTATATACCCTCTGGCATGGTTTACTGATGCATTGGACTAGGACTTCCCTGGAATTTACACCTGCTCTCTTAACGATGGCCTGGATACAATCTTCGATACAATTCGCAAGTCCCGTGTGCACCGCTTGGTCGTGGTGGATGACAACTTCCGACTAAAAGGCGTGCTCACCCTAAGCGATATTCTACAATATATACTCCTAGAAGGCGAAGGCGACGGCGACGAAACTTCATAATTTATAGCAGACTTGACCCGCTCCACATAAACTACAACTTGCATAGGATGGCGTTTTGTTTCATTGCGAGGATCAGCCTTACGACAACCTCCGACATGGCCTGTCGACGGACGAATGGCTGGCTCCACCTATGTCCTCCCCCCCCCTTCATAATTGCTTTCCTTGTTTGCTTCAGATTTTACAGCTCAAGAGAAGAGGTATTGTATGGTTCTAAAATTTCCGGGGTTTCCCCAATCAACAATCTACACTCGGCGTTCCACTTGACAACAATAGATTTCTATTATTTGTACGACAGCTTTCACTGATGATTTATGGCCTCTCTTCCTGTTCTATTAACCAATTCCCGATGCGTTTCTTGTATTTCCTTTCTGGAATTTTGTATGTGGCGGACGATTGTGTATGATTCGTATGACGGTCACAATTATTCAATCTTGGAAGTTGCTATCTTTCCTCTTTCCCATCACCTGGATGCACCTTCTTCCCCTTCCCCCTCTTCTTCGGCAGTAGACATGAAGATACGCAAAAGGAAGGAGCAGCATATGCCTATGCACTATTCAGGAAGGCGTGGCCCCTGGCTGGTGTCACATTCCCATCGGACTCCCAAGATCTACAATCCTTTCAAGGCAAATTCCCCCCCCCCCCAACCCCAATTGTCTTTTATCACGTTACTCAGACGAGTTTAAATGTCGATTTATCCACCTCCCAGAAAGGCAAAATGAGATTGCTCGACAGCATTCTTTCCAGGTCATCTACGAACAGAAGTAACGGATCCCCTGATGTCAGCCGATCTTGGGCCCTCGCGGGCCGTACGCAGTCGAACGCAGCTAACGTCCTACAACAAAATGCAGTCCTTCCGGTAGAATCCATATCAACTGGAAATGAAGTAGAAATGCCCAAAGCAGACACCATATTGAGCAATGAGTGCCATGGGTCTCAAAACGGCCAACCGCCAGACAGCCACCAACAAAAGCTCACAGCAGAGAACTCGATCCTGCATGTCGACTCCTGTACTTCCAAAAGCGCTGGTGAGGAGCCAATTATACCACACACTACCTTGAAACGCTCTACCGGAAGCTACAGGAGGCTAGCTGGGTTTAAAACTCTCTTTAGCTCGCGTAAGTCACCACGGAAGAAGCTTGACCTCAACATAAACCCATCCGCAAAGCAAGAACCGTGCGATGCCAGCGGCCACATAGAAGTGCAGCGTTGCGGGAATACTGAAGAACAAGAGAACGATGGGCCACCGGTTCAGCAAGTCCCACCCCCATTTATCCATGCCAGCCATGACACTGAGCTTCGAAAGGTCAGTGGTAAGACCGAGGACTCACTCGATTCAAACAAGACCAGTGTGACTGTCTATCGTCGTGCCTCAAAACGCACCTCAATGCCAATCGCTCTTGCGGACGATAGCTCGACCGACCGCGACCCATTTGATGATGTTTGGGAAGCCTCGCGTTTAGAAACAAACACCAGCAATCCGTTTGCGGATCAGTCAACTTCTACATCGGACTCTACAGGCCAGTCTATTCCAGTGTATAGAAATTCAAGCAACCCGCTTTCTTCGGATCCCAGGCACGTTCTCAAGCTCAGTGGCTCTTCAGGATCTAGCTGGTGTTTATCTACTCTCTCCAAGGTTAACACCTGGCCAACTCCTATTGATAGACGGATAGCCATCGTGTCGTTCAATGAGTTGGCACCTGAGCTGTGTTTGGAGCCACTAGCACTCAGCGCCGAGGATCCTAAGAAGGGTGTAATTGATATTCAACCGGCGGGAGGTACGTAATTAGAGCATCACAGTTGTTATCCACAGCAGGATCTTACAAGCAGCCAGGGGAGCAGTCCTTCATTGTGAGTAAGGATGATGCTATACGCCGACGGGACAGACTCCTCCGTCGAATACGATCTATGCGATCAACGCTTCAAATGAAATCCGAGCCATTTGTACCCCATACACGGACCCTGCGTCGTATGAAGACATTTGCAGGGTTCTCCTCTCGGTCCCCTTTAATGACATCTCTAAAAAACAAGTCTCTTGAAACCCTAGCAAGGCTTGGTGGATATGGCTTCTTGACTCTACCGGGCGATTTTGCGCCAGCAACACTGAGTCTACCAGTTTGCTTTGTAGCGGTTATTAATTACCTAAGGTGCTTTGGTATGTTTTTTTTTTTTTGATCTTAGGGATTTTAATCTTAGTTTTTCTAGCCCCTACCGTGCCGAATCTGTTCCTCGACGACGGTGACATGGAAACGTCCGTTCAAACGTACGAATACTTTGCCAACCAGGTCCTCTCTGCAGAAAAGGAGCAGGAAACGATCCAGATGACGATGAGAAGCAGCCGAATGCCCAGTTTTATTGAGGAAGGTACCATCACACACACTGAAAGCCGCAGTGCAGGGCACGTGCTCGGCGTCGCGCTCACATTCAAGGCTCTACTGGCTGGACTTCCCGGAGGTATACTAGGCTCGAGACAACTCCATCGGATTCTAGTCCACATCTACTATGGACGTCCTTCCAAGGCTCCCATAGAGCCCCCCGGCAGTCGTCTTGTCGGCCTCTCACCTAAGAGCTACACCAAGGTGAAGGCGATCAGTCTAGCCATGGTAGCCCTCACCAGCCCAATGCAGCTCAACCTTATTTGTGCTGTGTTTGGATTCTGTTCCCTGTTACTGCATGAGTCAGAACGAATGTTTGAGCTTGAGCGACGAAAGTTACGAGGATCCGTCCGCCGTCCTAGTGGTCCCAGTGGTGCCCGACTGAGTGAGGACCGGCTTGGTGACATTTTTGGGCCCCTGCTCATGAAGAATGACCGGGCCGAGGCTCCAGACATGTTCCAGACCATTCAGCTGGAGATCGAAAACCAGCGGGTGGTGGCCATGGTGGTTGGAAATTGGCGCAGTATTAGCCGACAGCTGCGGATCTGGGAGCATTGTGGACTGGAGGCAGGAGTGCGAGCGGGTTCCTGGAACCGCGCGACGAGTTGACACCAGCAGCATATGGCTTATTCTCGGAGTCGATGACCGGATGTAAGGTTTAGGAGACCATGGTTAGCTAATAGTTAGCGATGTGGTTGAATGGAACTCAACGTGATGACCGCGTCGTCCAACTTCCCTGGGTATTATTCGATGCTGTAGGAAATGGGAGCAGGGAGGGGTTTGGATAGTTAGATACCGTACCTTGTCTAGCTGAGAACGAGGGAAATGGGAGAGTATTGAGATGATTCTAGACAAAAGATATCAATAACAATTCAACGGGTGATTGATGATGGAGGTTGTAACTGTTATGTATATATACATCTACTATATACGGACTTCAATAGTTAGTACGGAGTATATCATGCTATATATCAGGCAACGAGATTAACTAAAGCTTCCAATAAAAGAAATACATCCTATGCTCGATCTACAAAAATTCACGCCTTGGTTTATTATCCTTTTCTCCTCCCTTCTAGATCTATCTACCTAGGTACCATCCATGGATCCTGAGGTGCAGCTTCAATTCCTAGCCAATTGATCTTCCCATCGTATACTTGTGTTGGGAAGTTTGTGCGTCTGGAGTTCTCTCCTTCCCATCTCTCTCTCTCTCTCTCTCTCTCTCTCTCTCTCTCTCTCTCTCTCTTTGGTTTCTTCATCTCTACTTATATCCACTAGATTGAGCTTCTACTGTCTTCCAATCATCAACAAATCGGTCCTTCTTCTAGGTACCTAAGTACCTTGCCATCTTTAACTCTTCCCTCCAATCTTTTTTGTCTCTCTTTCCAAAGAGGTACGCGGAAGGTACTTCTCACCTTTATTCTCTCTCTTCTTCTTCTTCCTCTTCGCCATCATGTCCAGTCTTCTGGCTGAAGATGATATCTTCATGCCTGCCTCCATGCCCTCCCTGGACGTTCTAGGGGGTCTAAATCCATCCTTCTACCCCCCCGACTCAACCTTAGAGCCGCCTAGTCTCTACGGAATTCCTCTTCAAGATGAGGCAAATGCCTGGTCTTTGGTTACTATGGAGGCTCTAGAGACTCCTTCATGGACATCTTCGGCCGATCCTTCTCTACCACAGATGTTATCATCGAGCGCCAACGGTGACCGCGAATTGGATCACTGCCATATGAACAATGGCCAGCCTACTCCTCCTCCCTTATACGACGACGCAAAGCTCCAGTCTACTTACAACCCTGACTATTCACTCTCCCCGTATTATCTCGGCCCCTCTTCAGAAGATATGTTCCAGATCAGCACCAATGATAGTGTGGGTGAACCACAGTCTAGCCCCGCACCATCAAAATCATCCACAAGGGGCCGTCGAACTACTCGCCAGAATCCTTACCAGTGTCGCACTCGAGCGTCCACCAGCAGTTCTCTTTCTACCAGCTTCGATGGGCATGGTGAAGGGACTAGACGAGAGAAGTTCCTGGAACGAAACCGAGTTGCTGCAAGCAAGTGTCGCCGCAAGAAGAAAATGGCTGACGAGGAGCTCGTTCGCAAACATGATACTGCGCTGGCAGAAAAGCAGCGCCTTACGCGCACCGTGAATGAGTTACGCGGCGAGCTCTTGACCCTCAAGAACACCGTCCTCAAGCATTCTGGGTGTGGAGATGAGGCTATCAACCTCCACCTCTCCCGAATGGTGCACACTATCACGCAGCAGGATAGAGCTGCTGCTGCTGCTACGACGACGACGACGACGACGACTGCGGTTGTTGCCGTTGAAGCCGCTCATATTGCGCCTGGTCAAAATATTATAAACATCCCCATAGATCGCCCCAGCACTTTCGAACAAGGGCCAAATTCAATGGGGTTTGGGTTCGATGGTCTAGAGAGCACCTTCCCAATGTGCGGTTAACTTGGCATTAATTGCGGGAACGCGCCTTTCTCGCGCTATATACGAACACAGAATAAAAACCTACGGTGTGAGCTGAGCCGATGACGACGTAAATGTCTTTACGAAACGAAGATTTGTTTATTCTATGGCGCCAATAGGGTGGTGTTTTTGTTTTGATAAGAAATCGACCGATGTCCATATGACGGCGTTAGGGATCGCTGGATGGCCTACTTCTTGTCTCAGTCTCTGACTTGCTCTTGCTCTTGCTCTTTTCATTTATTTTTTCTTTCTTTCTTTCATTCTTTCTTTCTTTCTTTTGCTACGATCCAGCGTGTATTCACTTCCCTATCTTGGAGTTTGGGGGGGAAAGAAATCAGGTTACTTTTGTGAATGTTTGTTTACTTGCTTGCTTATGATACCAGATGGGTCAAGCAACAGAGGCCCATCCGCTTGTGCGAAGATACCAATCAAGTTTTGCTATTATTCTACTGAAATTCCTAAATCACTGGATTTTTATATCATGGAAATTAGATAACTAGTTACTCTGCAGTAGTTAGTTGCTGCTGAAGAAGCGACCCAGGCTCTTAGCGTCTCCGATGCAGCCAGCCCGCGCTGCACCTGCATGTGCTTAGTTGCGAGCATATATATACATATATGTACTATACAGAGTAACTTCCTTATATCTCATGTACAATATCAAAATACTTCAACCCATCATTCTATTATGTTGGAGTGCTGCACTCAGTGAATGCAACCAGCACCACCATAAAGCAGCATTACCATAAAGAAGAAGATAGCAACACGTGACTATTCTGTGTATTTAAGGCCACTATTTCTTTCTAGATCTCTATACTTCCTTCAAGTATCTCTCTATCTCCTAGTTAGACCTAAATTAAATTTATTTTGGTTAACTTTCTACTATTATAGTTTAATAACCTCTTATTAGGTTATAAGCCCTTCTTAAGGTTCTATTTTATACTTTATAGATCTCTAAAACTTTTATTATATCCTTATACCCCTGTATAGTAATCTGCTCCCTAATTAGAAAGAGATCCTAGTAGAAATATTACCTATTACTATTATATTATACTACTTATACTGCTATTATATTACTCTACCTGGGTAATAGTATGTAGAAAATCTCTATAATTTAATTAAAATAGTAACTAAATCTATCCCTAGTAGATATCTTGATATCCCTAACTTACTATATCTACCTTTAATAGCTACTACCTCATTTACTAATAGCTGAAATTAAGTAATAAAGCTAAAGAATAATATATTTAACTTAAGCCTGATAATAGTATTAGAAAATAATTTAAAATTTAAAATTTAGGCTTTATTTATATAAATAGAGCTAAAGCTTTATAAGATAGATAAGCTTCTTAAAAATAATATTCCTAGACTATAATTTAATAATTCTAAATATAAATTATGGGAACTTCTTTTATAAATAATAGCTAGTTAGATACTATATTTAATAAGTAAGAAACTAGTAAAGAAATTACTAATAAATACTACTTTATATATCTTTATAAATAATTTTATATAGAAATTATAAAGAATAGTTATTAGTAATAATTAAAGATATATATACTAGACTTAGAGAGAAGTTATTAAAATTAAATATAAGAATTATATAATTATTAATAAATTTATATTAGACTTTATCTAGAAAATAAATACTTTTAATAAGTTAAAAATAATTATTATACTTTATTAAGTAGTTACTATAATACTTTAGAAATTTAAAAGAAATAATATAAGTTTTATAAATTTAATCTTAAATAATCTAGATAATGTCACGGTGTAGCCGTGTACCTATCTAGTTAGATTCTGCCCTAACTATCTACCTCTACTCCTATATTTAAGTTATGTTACCCCTAATCCTATTATAGCTCTTTAAGCTATATCCTTATCCTAACCTAATCCTTACCTATTATACCTATATATAGATAGCCTAAATATATATCCTACTATTAATTATACCTATTACCTACCTGCCCTCTATAATATTATATAGCTCCTATCCTAGGTATAGTTATTACTAGTATATTAAAATAACCTAAACTATCCCTAATTATAGACTTAGTTAAGGAATTCATAAGCTATATTATAAATAATCTTATTATCTAGATTATTTACCTTAAATTTTATAATAGATATATTAATTTCCTAGAGAAGGAGATTTATACCTTCTAAAACTAAGCTAATAAAGCTAGCCTAGAGCTAGCTAAGAAGGAAGGAATAGTACTATACTAGAAAAAAGAATTAAAAACTATTTAATAAAAGTTAATTAAATTTAAGTATATATTTATTATATTATAGATTATTACTACCTTTACTATACTTATTCCTACTATTATTCTTACTCCTACTAAATATACTCCTCTTACTAAAGCTATAGTAGCTAATATAATAAGAGTACTTATACTTATTTTTACTAGCCTATCTTTTAGTACCTATCTTAGTAAGAAACTCCTTAATCTATAAGAATTTAATAGTACTTATTTTAATCTTTATTACTTTATATAATAAATTTATAATAAATTAAATACTAACCTAGATTATTTCCTAACTATTAAAGCTTGACTAATCTATATAGCAGGATACCTAATTAGAAAGGCTTATAAATTAATCTTATTTAAAATAAGATTTAATATTCTCTAGTTTCTAGATTATCCTAACTTACTTAATTATCTAGAAATAGTATTTAAAGATCTTAATTAAATTTAAAATACTTAGAACTATCTTTATAATTAGAAATAAAAAAACTTAAACTTTAATATTTATTTTATAGAATTTTATTACCTTATTTTAGAAAAAAAAATATTTAATAACTTTCTAATATTTTTCTTAATTTAAAATATTTTAATTAAATTCTAAAATATATTACTTTATAATCCTACCTTATTTTAAGACTTTTAAAAATATATTAATTATTTTTAATTACTAGAAAATTACTACTATTAATACTAGTTATAAGTATTCTATTCTTGCCTAATACCTAGTTCCTACTATTCTAGCCTAATAATACTAAGGAATTTCTCTAGTTCTATTTTATTTAATTACCTTATTATACCCCCCGCGCCTAGAAGAGATTTAGATATTATAGACTTATTTTATACCTACTATATATTATACTTTCCTAAGGAAGGATAATATAAGTATAAGAAATACTTTTACTATAAAAATAAAGTATATTATATAAAGGATTATTCCTTACCTAACTAATATCTTATATAAATCTAGAAGTAAATAAATATACTAATATATCTTTCTAGCCTAACTCTTACTATAGTATTACTTACTCTCTATATTATAGCTTAGAATAACCCCTTTACTACTCTAGAGGAACTTAATTAATTATACTTATTTAATATCCTACCTAACTTAGAAAATAGAGTCTACCTAGCTATAATTATTATTTAGTACTAGAATATATATAGAAGCCCCTACTACTAGATATATTACTTTATTTATTCTATATTATTACTAAACTAACTAACTTCTCTAATCCCTATTACATGCATGCTAACCTTATAGTATAGCAGGTATAATTATATTAAAAAAATCTAAAAATACTAATTTATACTATAATTAATTCTAGAACTAAAAGAGTTAGCTTTATAAATTACTAATAAATAAAAATATATAAACTAAAGACTATTTTATTTCTCTATTTAATATTTTTATCTAGCTTCTATAGTAAGAAGATAGAAGAAGGTATAATAACTTATTATATAAAGGCTAATCTATTATTAAATAATTATTATAACTAGAAATCTATCTTCTATATTACTTATCTTTTCTATTACTTAATTATTCTAGGACTAGCCTAGCTTATTATATATAACCTAAAAATATATTTCTCTAATTAAATAATTATATTTAATAGCTAATATTATTATAAATATTATAATATATTTCTTAAACTTATAAGGGTAAGAGCCCTAATAGATATTTCTTAGAAAGATTAACCTAAGTAATTAAATTAATAAGAAGAATTACTAGAGTTAAAATCTCTTATATTTATAGAAATATACTAAATATTACTAAGAGTACTAGCTATATATACCTGCTATCTAGTATAAAAATTATACTAAATCTTATTAAATAAAGTTAATAAAAAATTAAAGTATAAAGATATTAGTCCTAAATTACTATCTATACTTTTCCTAGAATTATAAGATTTTTAAGATATATTTAATCTTTAAGAAGTAAAGAAGCTACTACTATATTAATTATATAATTATAATATTAAGATCTAAGAAAAAAAATAACCCCTATTTAATAAATTATATTTAATATTATAAGTATAATTAATTACTCTAAAAAAATAGCTAGAAGAGAATCTAAAGAAGAGTTTTATATATTTTAGCTTATTTCTAGCTATCTCTCCTATCCTATTTATTAATAAATCTAGAGGTAGCCTCTGCCTATATATAGATTATTAAGGACTAAATACTATATTAGTTAAGGACTACTATTTATTATTTCTAATTAAAGAAACCCTAAATAACCTATAAGGAATATAATACTTCTCTAAAATTAATCTAGTAATTATTTTTAATAATATCTATATTAAGAAGAGATTAGAATACCTAACTACTTTTTAAACTTATTTTAGGCTATATAAGTCCCTAGTTATACTATTTAGCCTAACTAATACTCTAGCTATCTTCTAATATTTTATAAATAATATCTTATAATAATATATAGATATATTTTATAATATATTTCTAGATAATATCCTAATTTATAGTTATATAAGAAAAAAATATACTAAATATCTAAAATAAATATTATAAATTTTA